TCTCTCTCTCTGTCTCTCTCTCTCTCTCTGTCTCTCTCTCTCTGTCTCTCTCTCTCTCTCTCTCCCCATCCCTCTCCCTCTCTCTCCTTCTTCCCTTTCCGTCTCCATGTCTGGATGGCCGTCTCTTATCTTTCTCTCCCGCCCGGTCTCTGTGGGTCTCTCTCCCACTGCGTTTCTTTGTATCTAGTTCTCGCTCCATCTTTTCTTCTCGACCCGCATCTGCGTCTGGTTCTCTCTTCTTCTGGAGCGACGTCCCTACGGCATTTGCTCTCTTTCTAAATCTCTCGGTCCCTCCCTCTCTAGCTTTGTCCCTCTGACCCCATCCATCCCTCCAGCTCTGTCTGTCTGTCTAGCTGTCTAAGCACTTAGCTACCTGATCAATCCTCTGGCTATCTATGTAGCTCGCTACCTCGTCAGTCATCTGTCTATCCATTTGTCATCTGTCTGTGTCTTGGTGCCTTCCTACCTCCCTGCCTCTGTGTCCCTCTGCGTGTCCCCAACCCACGCTCGCCGCTAGACTCCCATAGTGGCCTCGCCCCCTCTTCCTCGATCATCTGCCATGTCAGCCCAGCTCCCTGTGAAAAGCGCATGCTGGGGAGGTGAGCGTCCCCCCATACTCTTTCGCGTGGCAGTGCCTCCCGCCCTGGGCCAGCCTCGCCCCCCAGCGACAGGGCCTCTGTGGGCGGGAGTCAGAGGGCGCAGGGCAGCCCCGGGCGCTGAGGTCTGGGAGCGCACGCGCGCGTTTGCAGACGCGTGTCCGCGCTGCGTCCTGGCTTGCCTGCAGTGGGGGAGGCCGTGTGTACACGTGGGCAGGTGCTCCCACAGGCGGCAGTGACCGGGGCAGGCTGGATCCTCTGAGGAACCGGATTCCCCAGGGCTTCAGTCCTCGCCTCCGGGTGAGGGAGGCCTGAGCCACGCTGGTGCCGACACGAGCCAGCGTCCAGGGTGGGCATCTTGCTGGGCGCTGTACACGCGCGGTGTTACTTCGTTTTCTCAGCCCCCCGAGTCGGGGATGGTGACGGGTCACCTGACAGATGCGAGGCATTTTGCTCAGTGCCTTTACTCGCCCCTCTCGGAGCCCTGGCCTGGCAGTCAATGTGACAGACGCAGACAGAGTCACTCAGTGGACATGGGACTTCTCTGCGGTATAAGGGCTCAGGTCCGGGGAGGAAAGACAGGGGTCTGGCTGCCCCGGCTGGGGTGACACCCAGCCCAGAACACCACAGGCCCCGCCAGGCCCCCCCTTCCTGCCGAAGCTGGGCTGGCTGCACAGCTGCCTCCCCACCGCCCTCAGAGGCCCACCCTGTCCCACCCTGCCCCGCCCAGACTGGCAGGGCCAGCTGCCTCCTGTGACAAATGTCCTCTGGCCTCAAAGCCACACTCTGTCCCTGTCTCCTGGAGCCCCGGGCAGGGCCGTCGCAAGGTCTGCCTCCCACACGCTCCTGTGTTCCAACCACGACCCTCCCGTGCCCTCGCCGTTTCTGTGCCAGACACTGACCATGCTCTGTCACGTGGAGTCCCCGGCCCACCCCATGGGGTGGGTATTCTTATGCCCATTAGACAGAGGGGACCTTGAGCCGTCAGCCACTTGCCTGAGCTCACACAGCAAGGACCGGCTACGTCGGCCTCCAAGGGCTGCGCTCTCTCGCTCCGGGCCTCCCGCCACACCCCACCCCTGCCAGGTCTCCCCGCTGCACGCGAAGATGGAGCGAGGCCTCAGAGGCCCGGAGGCTGGGTCTCGGCTCCGCGTCTCACCTGCCCCACCTGTCCGACAGAGACAAACCCAGGGCCTGGTGGGCAGCCCCCCGGGCCAGCTGTCCTTCACACCGCCCCGGGCCCTGCCCCCCTCACCCCGCGTTCACACGACAGACGCTGACAGAGCGTCGACCGTGAGCCAGCTCTGCTCTGGGAGCTGGGGACACGGCCAGGATGAGACAGATTATTTCTGCTCTTAGTGGGGGCAGGGCCCAGACACCGCCCGGAATGGCTCAGGAATCACGTCTGCAACCGGACACGGGGATCTCGCTGCACAAGGAGGGGCGCGGGGCCTGGGGACGGCAGATGGCAGGGCTGGGGCGGGGCGAGGGCGAAGCCGCTCTGAGGGAGCCGAGGACAGGTGGACGTCCACGTCACTCCCCGGGCCTGGCTCTGTCTCTCAGAGCCACGGAGCGCAAGTGGCCTCCTCACTCCTCCGTCCCGCAGACGTGGAGCGCCTTGACCGGGCCTCACCTGAAGCCCCCTCTCCCAGCCACGCCCCTGCCCAATGCTCTCCTTGGGCCTCCTCTGCGCCACTGTTACCCCTAAAGCTGCAGCATCCAAACCTCAGCGCGGGCCTCTCTCCTCCCTCGCTGGGGACATGATATCGCTACTAATCCTGGGCACATCTGAGCTTCAGGCCACCTACAGTTGTAACCAGCAAGAGCTCTAAACCGCCCGCCTTGCTCCACTCACCAGGGGACCCGGGGCTCCCCCTCCCTGACCATCCCGGCGCCTCCCGGAGCTCCCTCCCGCCCGCCACGCAGGCTCATCAAGCGTCCATTGTGCTGGCTCCCGAGCTTCTTTTTGCCCTTGACACTTGTCAAAATAATTATGTCATGTAATTAAATATTGCCTAAAATGATGAAATGTGTACACGAAAGGAGAGAGTCGTTTCTGTTAGAAATAGGCCGATGGCTTTGAAAAGACTCCACACGGGCATTTTGCTTGAAAAGTTTCCGTGATCGGGGGTCTTGGGGGGCCCACCGTCGGAGCACGTGCATGGGTCTGTGCAGCCTTCCCGCACGTTAAAGAAACAAGCTGAACGCAGCAGACCAGTGGTTCTCAAAGCGGGTTCCCCACCAGCAGCATTGGCACCGGCCCCAAACCCTGCAAAAAATACAGATCTTGGACCCCGGCCCAGGCCCGTGAGTCGGGAACGCTTAGGATGGCTCAGCGGAGTCTCTGTGAGCCCCCCGGGGGTCTGAGAACTTCCACTGTGGGGGAGCCCCGTCATCAGAGGGGTAAATTCTGAGGGAAAGGCCCCACGGGCCGCTGAAGAGCAGACTGGCACCCAAAACAGGTGTGGCCTCACAGCCTAAGGCTGGCGAAGGGACGCACAGGGGCCCGCCGACGGTGACCACGCGGAGGGAACGGGTAGACCGCGTCTTAGGTGCCCCAGCTCCGCGGGCTTCCCCTGAGCGACACCCAGCCCCGTCCGCGAGACCCTCCGAGGGGAGCAGGCGGCAGCGGCCCCGTTCCCCAGATGGGGACCCTGAGCCTCGGAGCCGTGAAGCGGCGGTCCGAGGTCCCGCAGCTAGCGAGTGGCCTGGCCCCCGGGCAGGGGCCGCAGCGTTGTCCTGCGCGCCCGCTGACGGCCCCTGGCTTTCCGGCAGCTGAACCACGCCTGCAGCGGGCCGGGCCTGGCGGTGCTGTGCTTCATGCGTCACGACACCCTGGACTACTTCAGCGTGTACGGCACGGCCCTGAGCATGTGGGTCTCGCTGATGGGTGAGTGGCCCCCCCTCGTAGCCCAGGTCCCGTCTGCCTGCCGCCCGCCCACGCCGGAACCAACACCCGGGCTGCTGAGCCTGTACCCCCACACCTCGTTTCTGGGGACCTCCACCCTCTCCCAGGGTACAGAGCCGAGCCGAATCCATGAAAAAGAGTAGGACAAATTTACCTGGCAGCGGCACGCACGCACAGGAAGCGGTCACAGCGCTCTGCCCCGTCTTCCTCCCGGGGGACCCCTGTTCGCCATTCGGGGTCCCCCCACCCCAAGAACCTCCCCTGCCCTTGCGGTTTTCAGCTCGGCCTTGTGGGCGTGTCCAAAAGCACAACATCAGGGCACGGTCCCCGTTACACGGGGCCCCCCACGATTTGACCAGGCTCTGCGGGGGGCCCGGATCGTCCTTGTAGGGTCCCTGGGTGTCTTCGCGTCCTTGCCCACGTGTACCCCTGGACCTTCGCATGTGGACCAGCTTCCTGCCTGCACGACCCAAGCTGCCCCGGGCGCGGGGGAGCCTGCCTTTCCCTTAGGGCCGGCTGGGATTCCGGCGAGCGGGCTGGGCCTCGGAGTCTCGCTGGCTGAGGGGGCCCCAGCCATGCCCGGGCCCCTGAGGGACGGCCCCGGGGGAGCAGTGGCCAGGAGCGGCCGCAGAGGCCGCGCACCTCTCACTCTCTGTCCCCGGCCACCCCAGCTCTGGCTGACTTCGACGAGCCCAAGAGGTCGACCTTGGTGATGTTCGGCGTCCTGACCACCGCCGTGCGGGTTTACCACGACCGCCGGGGCTACGGCGTGTACTCCGGCCCCATCGGCACAGCCGTCCTCATCATCACAGCTAAGTGGGTACGTGCCGCGTGACCCCAGCCGCCGGGGCCCTTCCCCTGACTGTGACTCTTCCCACCCGGAGTCTCCGTTGGCCTCCCGCCCACGGCCGGCCGGCGGGACACGGCCTCAGCGGAAACACACAGAAAATGACCGTCGGGCACACAGGCACGCGGATCCGGGTTGTATGGGGTCCGTAGCTCGCTGACTCCGGACCTCACCCACGTTACTGAACCCTGTGCCTCAGTGTCCATATCTGCAAAGCAGGTATTATAACAACAGTCTGGGTCGGGTCAAGATTAATTGAGATGATGCGTCTGAAGTATTAGCATAGAACCTGGCTTCTAACGGGCTCCAAAAACGGAGCTATTATTATCATCGCTGCTGTCGAAGGAACAGGCTGCTTTAGAAATGCACTGCCAGTCGGAAGTGGCCTGCGTGCGTCTGGGAAGACCCCTCGGGCAGGGGGAGGCCTCAGCTTGTTCCGAAGAGAAGGGGGGAAGCGGCGTGTGTGTGACAGGAAGTTGAGACTGAGGCTCGTGCGCACCGAGGCGGCCTGGGCCGGAGTCACCGACACCATGGCCTTGCGCTGGGCACCCACGAGGGCCCCTAACACATGGTCCCTGGGCCTCCCTGCACCACCCATCAGGCCAAGGCCCCTCTGGCTGCAAGGGCCGAAGCCCACTCACGCTAGCCGGGCACTGCAGCAGGGTGGGCCGGAGCTTCTCCCGGGAGCCCGAGAAGGGGAGGGGCCGAGCCAGGCGGGGAGCGGAGCCTGGGCCGGAAAGCAGGAGGCGGGTCTCAGGGAAGAGGGGTCCGGCTGGCGGGGGTGCAGGCGGTGCCCACCACGCCCGCCGCTCTCCACCCCGGGAGGGTCCACTTTGCCAGCAGGAGAAGAGAAGGCGCATCTGTCCCACTGTGACCTGGGGAAGCAGAGCTGGCCCCGGGCTGGCCCAGGAGGCCCCCCTCGGAGCCGCCTGGGAGCAGGGAGGAAGCGTGTCAGGTCTGACGTCACTGGCCCCAAGAAGGACCGCCGGCGTGCACCAGACGTCGCTCGGGACAAAGGGCGCGGGGCGAAGTCCCCTGTTCTGGCCCGGGGGGCTGCGCCCACTGCCGGTCTGGGCCAGCTCTGAGTCTGGGCTGGATCTGAGTCAGCTCGAAGAGCAGTCGCTCGCTGGTGTCCCCACAAAGCGCCGCGGGGACTTTCGCGGTCCCTGGCCACGGGGACCAAGGGCTGCCTGGCTGCCTATAGCTGGGGCTCAACCTGTGTTTCCCACACCACTGAACGTGCAGTTTATTTGGATTTTCCAGGGCAGATGTTTCTCTCGAAGGTGCATCTCTTCCTGAGCCGGGCTGGGGAACAGTGGCTCCCGGGGACAGGGACGGGGACGGGGAGCGGGGAGAGGCACGTGCCAGGGTGAGGCAGGGCAGGTGCAGCATGGGCTGGACAAGGGTCCCCCGGGCCAGGGCCCCCGCACCCTGGGTCACAATAGCCGCATCCACAGGCCACCTGCACCTCTGCAGGCCCCGATTCCTCTTCGGTCACGGCAAATTCCAGGAAACCGGACTCCATTTCATAGTGCGTTTGGTGGGGAGACCCGCCCTACCCTGCCTGGGGTTCCCCATGGGCTTCACGTGTGCCGCCCAGCGAGTCTCTGCCTCTGGGGTGCTGCCCAGAACCTCGGGCCCCGATGCGCAGTGTGTGGTCCGCACGCATCTGCAGTCCGCAGCGCCTCGGCCCCGGGGGCGAGGTTTCGGGATGGGGACCCGCGTTCGTTTCGTCCTTCCGGCGTGTGTGGACCCAGCTCTCTAAGCCGGAGCCTGGCCCCAAGCGGCGGCGGCAGCAGCCCCGGGCTTAACGTGCTAGTCAAGGTCGTCTAATAAACAGCCCGGCGTGTCTGCCCACTGACGGCTGAGGCACCAGAGGCTCTGGCAGACCACACGGGCCACGCCGGAAGGCAGGACCCGCCCCAGTACCCCAACGTGTCCAGACCCCCCGACCGGGATAGGGGGCAGGGAGGGGGGGCCCTGTTACATCCCAAAGAGATAGGTGGGGAATCCTCGTGGGCCCTAAAGGCCCACGGGGCTCCCAGCCCTGCCACCCAGGCTGCGGGCTCCCATGGGTGTCTTCCTGAGCCCCATCTCCTGCCTGAGGATGCCCGGGGGTGCAAATGCCCAGGGCCAGCTCCCCCGCTGGCTCAGGGCGGCCGTTCCCGCATGACCTGTGACCTCAGAGCTTTCCCGTCGTCTCCGCCCCCGCAGCTGCGGCAGATGAAGGAGAAAAAGGGTCTGTACCCCGACAAGAGCGTCTACACCCAGCAGATAGGCCCCGGCCTCTGCTTCGGGGCCTTGGCCCTGATGCTGCGCTTCTTCTTCGAGGTACCCAGGCGGGGGGCGGGGGGAGCAGCCGCCACGAGGGCCCTCTTCCTAGAGGCGTGCCCGGGGGAAGCCTCTTGGAGGAGGTCACTGGGCCAGACTCCCAGGACAAGCGAGGGGGCTGGGGAGGGGCCTGTGTAAGTGGCAGGGGCCAGGCACGAGGCAGAGGCACAGAGCATGCAGGGGGGAGGGAGCTTTGGGGACAGGGCTGAGGCCACAGCTGACGGCCCGCCACACCCCTGCAGGAGTGGGACCACACCTACGTCCACAGCTTCTACCACTGTGCCCTGGCCGTGTCCTTCATCCTGCTGCTGCCCAAGGTCAACAAGAAGGCTGGAGACGCGGGGCCGCCGGCCACGCTGGGCTGCTCCACCCTGTGCTGCACCTGCGTCTGACCTGCACCCCGCCCGGCTCCGCGCCCCTCCCCTCCCCTGTCCCACGCCTGGCGGGAGCCCTCCCCGTCCTTCCCCGGCCCGGAGCGTCCAGGAGAAATTCTGTCTTCATATTCTGACGGGTCCCAGGGCCTTGGGAAGCGCCCGCCGTGCTAAGTGCTTCCCGAGGACCCAGTTACTGAGCTTCTGCTGGGTGCTGGGTGCTGGGTGCTGGGTGCTGGGCTGGCTGATGGGAAGACGATTGGCCCCCTCCCAGGCCTCGGTGCCCACTGATCGTGCCTCCGCGGATCCTGGAGCCAACGTCCATCCTCCCCGCCACCCCTTCCCGAAAGCCCCAGCGCAGTCCCCGCCACACGGGGGTTCTGCCGGCCAGCAGGTCCCCTGCCCGGCCCCCACCGTCTGGTTTCTCCCGGAGACTGGCGTCATACGTCTGTCCCATGCCCCCAGGCTCTGAGCAAGCCCATGCAGGAAGCCAGGGCCAGCGGGACCCGCGCTATCCCTGGCCCACGCCTGCCCGCCCCTTGGCCGTCCCTCCAGCTGGGTCCCTAATCTGACGATTTTGATGACAATAATCGGTAAGAAGCACCTTGATTTCGTGACCTTACTGGGAGGCCGAGCGGTGGCCTGGCTGTCAGCCCCGCCTGTCTCCCCAGCGTGGGTAGGTGGGTCTGGGTGCGGGGAGCTCCGGCGGAGGCCGGTGGCAGGCCCTAAGCTGGGCTCACGAGGAGGTGAGCCTGTCTGCACCGGGCCCCGGGGGGTGGCGGGAGCCGGCCTCCCAGACATCACCTCACAAACCTGAGCCCCCCACAGATCCAGCCCACCCCAACTTCCCAAATGATCCAGGCACATCTGTCAGGCAGGAAGTTACCTACACCTGTCTGGGACCTGTTTGTGTTTCCAGACCATGCGCTCACCCACATGCGCTCCCACTGCGGGGGATGGCTCACATTTGTCCTAAAGTCACCTCTCGCATGCCTTAGGGGGCCGAGAGAGAGCTGGCTCCAGCACCTGGGGCTGGGGACGAGGTGGACCCTCGGCCAGGCTCCCCCCATCTGTCAGCCTCCCTGACTGCCCAGAGGTCCCAGGTCGCGGGTCTTGGACACCCACAGCCTGGCCCTGGCTCAGCCCCTTTCTGTCCCCAGAGCCCATTAATGACAGAGCAGCCTGCTCAGCCCTTCACATGGTGCTCAGGGTCTCTCCAAGCTCGTCTTCCAGATGAGGAAGCCGAGGCTCCATGGCTTCAGGGCCACCCACCTGGGCGTGTCCCCATCACAGGGCGGAGAGCACAAGACAAGGGGACTCCCCAGCTCTATGTTCCTGGGTGGGGGGAGGGGCAGGCGCAGCCCCCATTGGCTGCAGGTCTGGCGGGGGGAGAGGGGGTGATCGCACACACGCACACACCCCCACACCGTGAAGAAAGGGTACATCCTAGAAGCAGAGTCTTCTCTCTGGCCCATCTCCCATCTGCACAAGGGGACACTCATAAGTCACAGCACCAGGATTTAAGGAACAGGGGGACTCTGGGGACCGTGCGGGGGGAACCGGGGGTGCCGCTCCAGCAACAGCCATGTGCGAGGCGGTGGCCCCCGCCCATCACCCCCCACCCGCCCCGCTCCCCGCGCCAGCTCCCACCTCTGTGGCGACACATGGAAAGTTGGAAGCCGTGGGCGCTCCCACGCAGGGAGGAGCCGAGGGCTTGCCAAGCGCACGAGGGCCGCGCTGAGAGGCTGCTCGCCGTGGCCGCGCTGATTTATGAGTCTGTCTGGGAGCCCGGCCAGGTCTGTAAGTCATGGACAATTAGGAGGCGCGCTCCAGCCCTCAGCCCGCCCGCCTCCCGGGCTCCCCGCCCGCCGCGCCCCTCCCAAGCAGGGTTGGCCCCCACGGAGAGGCCGAGGAGGGCCGCAGGGGGCGGGTCCTGAGCCCACTCTGCAGAGGAGGACACTGGGCCAGGATGTCAGCAGCTGGCCCTCATCCCGGGACACAGGACACTGAGTTGGTGGCAGTGCCCAGGGTCTTGCCGGCCATCCCAAAGTCATCTTCCTCTGGCTCAGAGGCCACTTTGACATCCTGGGGGCTCCACCCAAGGGCCAGGAGGGGAGTGCTGGGGCAGGGGGCCGGAGAAGGCCCAGGATGGCCAGCCACTCTGATACCTCCAGACTGGCCAGGAAGACGTGTCACGGCCTTCAAGCTGAAACGCCTCCACGCCCAAGTGTCACCGAGCCCTGGGATCCGAGAACCACGGCACCCGGTGCCAGGAAGGGCCTCAGTGGCCCTCCCGACCCACCCCAGGAGGACAGGACCGTCCTCCCACCCAGCCCAGCTGGGGGCCTGCGGGTCCATGAGTCCCGACACCGCCACGAGCGAGTGCCTGCAATGCGGCCCTGGACGTCACCAGAAGCCCCAGAGTGGCACCTTGCTGAGGGCTCGCGTTGGTGATGGAGATGGGGAGATGCGAGCCCACGCGGGCACACACCCCGCCCCACCCCACCCCACCCCGGCCAGGACAGCGCCCCGCCCCCGCCCCCTGGAGCCTCCATTGATTTTAATTCATTTCAATTTAAATAGCCCCGTGTGTTGGGTTGCAAATAACATACAGGAGGCCTAGTGACATTTGAACTTCAGAGAAAGAATAGATAATGATTTCACCTGAATACGTCTAATATTTGGGGCATACTAAAAAAAAGATTCACTGCCCCCCCGAAATGTAAATGGGACTGTTGTCCTGTATTTTGCCGGGCAGCCCCACCCCTGTGGCTGGCAGCTCCGGAGCCGGACGGCACGGCTGCAGCAGACGGGAGGGACGCTCCCTGGACACGCGGGTTTGGGAATTCTGGGTTAAACCAAGTGACACAGGCAGAGGCGCTCAGGGCCCAGTTCCGATGGTGGCCTCGCTGCCAGGACACGGGGTGGGGGCTGGGGGGGGCAGGGTGGATCCTGGACGTGGGTCCTGCCACAGCCTCTTGGGGCCTGGGTCTGGCTTCCAGACCCTGCAGGGCAAAGAGCAGAAGCCGCCAATGCCCCGGCCTGGACACACACTCGGAGCCCAGCCGGCGGGGAGGGGGGCCCACGCACCTCCGGCAGCCCAAACGGAGAAGTATTATAAACACTTACAACAACTAGACAAAACAGTCTATTGTAGCAGCCCCTCCGCCTCCCCCCCGCGGCAGGGGTGAGGCTGGCATGGCACAGGGAGCCGGGGCCCCCGCCAGGACGCCCTCTGTTTGCACAGGCGGAGGTGTTTTTGTCTGAGGGCAGAGTCTGCGAGCTGTGGCCTTTGTCATGTCTGCTACTGAAATTTCCTGTCTCTGTTATTCTCTTCTGCACTGAGACCATCTGAAACCCAAAACTTTTATTGCCCCTTTTAAAAAGGCTTTACAGCTCCCGATCCACCTCATCCCGCGTCCTGGGCTCCGGGGCTGCTTTTGCAGTTAGGGGCGGCGCTGCTGGAGGGACCCACCGGCTCAGGCCGCGGGCCTTGGCCGCAGGACAGCAGGGCCCACGTGTGGGCAGGCGGGACCGATTCTGCAGTCGGCAGGAAGCCCCGGGGCGTGAGTCTCGGCTCGCTGGCCGGCTGGCCGGCTGGTCGGCTGGTTAGCTGGTTCACAGAGCCGGCCGAGCAGGGACACAGGCCGTG